GCAAAGGGTGTGGAGTGTATTGTTCTGTTATTCTTGAGAAACACACAATTGCTTTTGATTTCCCTCTCTTTCTCCTCAGTAGGATGGCCCTGCTGGGTGTTCAGACAGAAAATCTTTCTTAATTACACCCTTCATGATCCTGGCTCCACTCCAGCCTTGTTTTATTTCAGTTATAACCTTTTCAAAAACAAAGAGGAATGGGAGTTTAGAGGAACAAGCTGACATGAGTTTTTTTACCTGAAATAAGTTGAGAGCCAGAAGTGAATCAAAAACAAATATCATTTTTTTTTTCTTGATCCAGAATTCTCCATGGTTAGATACAATGCAGTGTAATATAAATGAGAGTAAGACAAATTTCAGAGAGAGCTAGATAAACTTGCCCCACACCTGGCCATGGATCATGTGCCATGTTGGGACAAATGTCACTCCCTTCCATCCTTCAGTGGGTCTCCCTGATTGAAGATGAAACTTCAAAACAAAAGTATACATATGAATTTAACATGACCCTCGTCTGATGGTCTCCTGGGACTCTTCCCCACCTTCCAACCATTTTCTTATTTTTATTTCTCCTCTTACTCTCCCCTAGTTTTCATTGCTTCCACTGAACTTCTAATCCTTGATTTTATATTTTAATTTTCAAAAGTTGTTTTTTCCCCCTATGGTGCTATCCTTTCATAACACCCCTTGCATAAATGTATTATCTTTTCCTTTTGAACATATCAATGATAGTTTTTCTCAAATTTCTTGTTTCCCCCATTTTTTTTTTTAATTCATATCCCTGGGTTTGTGATTAGGGCTTTATCCAGTGGTTGGTGAGTCCTGCATAGCTCTTCATTTTTAAGAGTGAAGTATCAAGAATCAAAGCATCAAGAATTTCTTGTCATGTTTGTGTGCATGAACGGGACTGGGTGGTGGGTGAGGAGTGACTCCAAATGTCAAAACTTACAGGTCTTTTCTCTTGGGCTGGTCAGTTTCCCCAATAGAAGTCCGAATCCCTTGCTTATCATACATCTGGCTGTCAGTATGTTCATGGTGAGGGGAATCTGGGAGACCTCACTCTCCCATATGTAGGTTTTCCCTTAATTCCCTGTTTCCACACCAGTGAAGAAACAGTCCCTTGGGGCTGCCCATTTCCCATGGGGCCCTCCGTAAGTCTTCTCTATTGCAGTCCTGCCAGACACTTCCGATTCCTGGGCCTGGTCACAGTTTTTCAGCTTAATCAGCTTGCAGCTTGATCTTCCCCAGACCTATATAAGCTCTTAGCTTTTAGTTTCCTTTCACCTGCTAATGGAGTTACTATCTGTGATTTGCTTTTCAACTTCCAAAGCATGGTCGCCATCTATTTTGTACCCTTATCTCTTCTCTTTTATTTCATCTTTGTGGATTAGGGCCTTATTGGGGTCCATTTATAGCCATTGAAGTAGCATTTCCAGAAAGGGAAAAAGTAGGCAGGCGTTTTTGATACTCCATTGAATCAGACGTCTTCTGTCTGCAAGCTTTGGCCTTGCTACCCTGCCCTGCTTCCTCTAGGGTGTTTGCGATTCTTCATGTTACCATTCCCTTTTCTTGGAACACTCTGCTCTGGATAATCCTATTCCTTCTTCAACTCTCAGCTTACACATCTTTTCCTAACCTAAGGACATGACATTTTTTGGCATTCTTCCAGGCACATGATGGTCTCCCCCATGTCTTATCCTGCTCCTCTATTGGATAAACTAAGAGGGCCCCCACTTTTGCCATTCCCCACAGGGGGACCAGGTTAGATGAATCATGATACATCCAATCCCCTAGAATTTATTTTTATTTTTTACATATACAACCTAACTCATTAATGATACTTGTCCTTGCCTGGCGTCTGAGCTCAGACACAGACACTCCAAAATAACAAAGCACAGAGGAATTTGAATCTTTTGACAATCCAAGCACCATACCCCTAACCTTGAATAGGAAATAGATGCTAATAAATTCAGGGTCTTAAAAATGTGAATTATAGTCATTTCACACTTCGTGGCAACTTCATGCTGAAGTAATAGCTTCAAGCTTAATTATGATGCTTGTCCCTTCCTTAAGTGCAGATGACATTCCTCAGATAGATTTTTGCAATGACATTTGAGGAGCGGAGTTGAGACACCAATTAGTTATTCATGATGGAGAATATTGACTGCGTGCTGATTAAAGGAAAGTGTTGATACCCTTCCTGACATGATGCATCTGTCTCTTCATTTATGGTTCTCCCTCTGGCCCTCTTGGAATGCTCTTGGGAAATGATGGAAATGCCCTTCAGCCTTCACATGCAGATCTATAAAGAAAATGTGCATGATGAGTGGGGATTATTAATGGAGACCAGGAGGCATTAGGCTTCCTCTGATTCCCTGCAGGTGTCTGGGCTTCTCTAGGAGGACCATGTGAGAGACACACCATAATGGATTAGACATGGCCCACTCTCGGCGCTAGAGAAGCTATTACACAGTATGTTCAGCACCTCAGCACTCTTCCTGCAGCTAGAAGTCAGGAGAGGATGATGAATGGAGGATTCTGTCCTCTGCACATAATCCCATGGCATGATCCAGGAGCCACTAAGCCATGTGAGCAGGAAAGTGCAACCTCCCTCTCTTTGTGCAAGATGTGATAGTCTTGTAAAAAGAGAATTTTGTTCTTTATTCTAATGACCTGGAGTGGCTCAGGAGCGAGGGGGCAGAACCAGAGTGAGACGGCTTAATAGAAGGAAGCAACTTCTAATAGTCTGAAGAGGTATATTATCCCATCACTGAGAGCAAGGGCAGACTCTCCTATCAGGACTGCCACAGAGCCAGGTCAAGCCTCAGAAGGAGGGAAGACTTTTAACTAAATGTCCTTTCAGGTCTGCTCTGATATGAAGATTCTTAATACTCAGGACTCCAAGTGCTGCTCACAAACACAGTTTTAGCAGGAGCCTCTCATTAAGTTTAAGTTCCTTGAAAAGCTCTCTTCATTGAGTGGTTGGAGAGCAAAATCTGTGATCAGTGTTGAGCCCTTTTTATTCCTTCGACTCTGAGTGTTTGGAGAATGACTCATTCTTCTAGTGATTTGTAAATTTTGAAGAATTTTTACAAATACCCCCTCAAAACCTTTCTAAAGCTGATACAGTAGTGCATTCCTATAATACCAGTGATTTTAGGAGGCCAAGGCAGGAGGAATGCAAGTCTGAGGCTGGTCCCAGTAACTTAGAAAGATCCTGTCTCGAAATAAAAAGGGTTAGGGATGTAGCTCAGTGGTAGAGCTCCCCTGGTTTCAAACAAAACGAAATACTTCCTAAAGCTGAATATGAGGCATTTGGCTTAATTCCCATTGTACAGATGAAGAAATGGAAGGGTTAATATGAAACACCTCTTGTTTGACTTTCACAAAAAAAGCCTTATCCTTTCTCACTGCTCCAAGATTTTCATTTGTATTTTTACTTTTTGCATTGCTGGAGATGGAACTCAGGGCCTCACACATGTTAGGCATGCTCTGTACCACTGAGCTATCCCCCCACACCTGCTCCAAGATATCAAGGTGCTACTGGTAGCAGCACATGGTGAAGGTGGAAAGCAGAGCTCTGGGTCAAATGGCTGGCCACTGGTCCTGGGTTTTCTTTCCACCCACTAAGATGTGACTCCAGCCAAGTTTGAAAAAACTCCTTGAGTTTCAGTTCTCTCATTTATAAAAGGGATAAGAACAAGACCAACCACAGAAAGACTGTGAGAACTAAATGGCCCACTATATATGAACTACTTCAAGCATGACCTAGAACCTAGGGCTTAATAAATATTGGTTTCAGGGGCTTTGTTGTTGCAGCAACAGAAATTAACTCATGCTTGCAGATGGCAAGGACTCTCTCCCAGTGATCTGGAAAGGTGCCTGTATTAGATGCCGGGTAGGTAGCAGTCAACAACAGGTTAAGGGCCTATCTGTACAAGTCTAGATAATCAAAACAACAAGTATGAGATGATTGATTTGCCAGATTGGTCCCAAATTAACAAGTGAGCTTTAACCCTTTAATCCTTTAATGCTTTTGATATTTTTTTTTTCATAGGAAATATATTTCTTATCTATAGGAAGGCAGGAGAGAGCCATATTTTTTTCCTTAGGAGAGGCAAACTGAGCAACTTAAACACTACAAAGACAGGATGAAGTGCTAAGCATTGTGATTATGAATGAAAAGGTTCATTTTATAAGCACTTACACTGCAAAGAGCTTTTGAACTTCCTCTGAATTTAATTGCATCTGGGAAAAGGATGGGGGTGGCAACATTGTTTAGAAATAGAAAAGAATAGCATATAAGGACCAACATGTTTAAAAAATCTTCTCACACCATAATGACCAAAGTACCCACCTTCCTAACTCCTTCACCCATGTGCAGGATGGAGATGGGGGGTTAAATCCAACACCCTGGAGGACCAGACCAAGTAGAAAATCTCAGAAACAAGAGGGCTTGTCTGGGTACATTCTATCCCTGTTGCTGACTGTTACCAGGAATCAATAGCTCTCTCCTAACCATCAGGAAAATGAAATTACACTTTAAACTCTAATGAGATTTTTTTAAAAATTGCACATTGAATATTTTGTATCATCCTAGAGATTGTTCATTTATTTTTACCTTCATTCATAAAGCTTTTGATCCTTCATTAAACACTGCCCTTACGAGTTATATTGTTTTCTTCCCCTGAAAGCCTTTACGGGTACCTATTATTTTTTTTTCACAGAGCTTGGATGGATTTTTATCTCATAATCCTAACTGAAGGCTGCCACTGCACTTTTGTTTTTTATCTATAACCTGTTCCTGAGCTAGACTAACCTGTTAGATATAGAAGCCCCAGTGCTTTTTCCAGGAAAGGGGATTGTCTTTGTTAATAGCAGGTAGTTAGACACCCCTAGGACTGCTAAAAGCAAACCCCTGTGGTTTTCAAAGGGCTGGCTGGTATCCCTTGAGCAGACAATACTAGTGAGATTGAGAGGATACACAGCACACAGCCAACATGCTAGTTCCATGGTTTCTCTGGAGCAGCATTTACAGCAGGGTGGAGGGGTCTCAGGCTGGGACCTTGTGACAAGCTAAGCCACGCTGGTCCTTGATTTCCCAGTACACACAGGTCTTCTTTGAAAAGCTTGCTAAGTCAGGGGGCACAACCTGTGAAGGAAGACAAGAGGAAATGGTCTCAGAGTGTTATTCCACACAGTGAAGCCATCTGAAGGCTCTGAGAGTCATTCATTGGCAGAATCTATATGTTCCAACCAAATAGGCCTGCCAGGCTAGTCACATCAGTATAATCCAAATGGAGGTATTCTGTGCACAGGTGCTTGAATATCTACAGGTGTCTGGCATACTATGTGAACATCTGGTATATATTTCTAGGAACACACTGATTAACAGGACAGGCATGGCCCTTGCTCCTGTGGGCTCTAGGTTCTATCAGAGGAGGCGCTGACTATCAGGCCAAGTGACCAGTGCCAGTGTCTTATGTCATTTAACCTTCACATCAGAAAAGCCTTTTCAGGAAGAAGGTGCTACAGGCACTCCTATTTCACAAATGAGGAGTCAGAGGTTCATAGAGGTTCAGAGACCTGCTCTGGGTTGCTGAAAGAGTTAGGGAGAAAATATCTCATTTGCCTGATTATAGCCTATTTTTCCTGCTAAACCATCCTGCCACACAAAAGGGATCTTGCTCTCAGAGTCCAGAAGGGATCTTGAATTTCTTATGCCTTTCTGTTACATTACCTAAGACTTCCAGTTAGGAAAAGTAACTTGAAAACAGCAAGAAAAGCCAGGAGTGGGGCTTTCTGCTCATTGCATCCCTGATATTCTGCCATTAAAGTGTAGGGGGGAGAAATGTGTGAAAACAGATTAAGAGAATTTCCTGAACTTTGGGTCTTGTCTCAGAGTGGACACGGGTTGGAGCTAACTCTCAGAAAGGGAAGCCACCATTGCCCTGGCCTTGGACATCACACAGTGATTCATTTGCTCACGTGTTTACCGTCCATCTCCTTTCCTGGGCTGTAAGAGCAAAACCTGTGATTCTCAATCTTTGTGTCATAGTGGAGACCCCCAAGGAGCTTAAAGATAATCCTGATTCCTAGTGCCCATCCCAGAAGAATTAAATCAGAATGGACAGGGCTATCACCTAGACAATGGTGTAACATAGAACATGCCTATTGGTTCCACAGGTCAGGAACCAGGTTCTAAGGGACAGGTGCTGTGTCCCATGTCCTCACCGCATACACACTGCAGGGTGAGCTGAGAAACTGTGACCATGTTAAAGGATATTCAGTAAATGCTTGTTGAGTACATGGATGGATGGAGAGATGGAAGGATGGACAGGTGGGTGAGTGAGAGAGTTAATCAAGAAGGAGGTGCTAAATTTGAGTTCATGGACTAGCTCTTATGACATCACTGTTTACAGTTAACTTTTTAATCATTCAGAATCTATATGCTTCTGTACCAAAATAGAAATTAGAGGCCTTAGGTAAGTAAATGAAACAGTAGACAGCAAACTGCCGGGTGCTCACATCATCTGGAAGTGTAATTGTCTTTGCCTTTCTTAATGTGTATTAATCGCCCATTTTGGCACCGTTCCATTTTGACAGCGTAGGCAGCCATTACATCAAAGGTAATGGTTCATTATTATTTCTTCAGTGAGTCATGTTTGTCTGAGGGAAGCAAAGATAACAAAGAGGAAATTATAGTTCGTGTGCAGTGATATGATTGCATGTAAACTGAGCGATAAACGCATAGTGCGCATGAGCAGTTGGGAGTTCCTTCTCTGTCCTCTGAATGCAAAGAAAGCAGAGTGACATTAAAATGTTCACATTTCAACTGGAGGTGGAGAAAGACACTGAGGAATCTTCCATACCTGAGAGCCCACCATGTCACTTACACCCATGGATACGTCTGTGGGGTGCCAGTGCCACCTTGGGTATGTCAATGATTGCTCTACTTCTGACTCACATGAAGTTCAAGTCTGCGGCCGTGAACAGGAGCAGTAGAAAGACCAGAGGAGCGGAGAGGGCAGCCTCTGCGTGGGCCTCTGTCAATGTGCCTCACACTGCTTCCCCTGTACGTACTTGGATGTCAGCTGAGATTACCCCCCTCCTAATGTGACTGATGCAGAATGCTTTTGATAGATTATGGAAAATGTCACATCCTCTCTAAGGACCTCCTTTTGGCTCATGATCACCTTTGATTTTAAACTTTTGTGCTTTCCCTTTGACCAGGCACCATCAGATCCTGTGTCCCCTTTGTTTACATTAGAATAAGGCACCCTTTCTTTCAGGTCACTGAACTTCTAGGAGTCAGAAAAATTGTCATAACAATATATTTTTTTTAGAATACGACATGCTGTACCATATGCCAGAAAAATGCAATAAATGTACAAATCTGGGATGCCTAGGATTTGAAAATTCCCTACACACACACACACACACACACACACACACACACACACACACACATACACACATACACACACACAGATACACACCCCTACCTCACTTTAGCAGTGCATGAACCTTACTACTGAGTCTGGAGAAGATGAAAGATCAGCTCCCAAAACCTGCTCCAGTTACTACCCAATAAAGTATTGACTGGGATTTGGCACTCAGCATTCTTCACTTAATTCCCACCAAAATACTACTCATACATGGTTTTGGTGTGATGCACAGATGATTTTACTAAAATTCTGTGAAAGCAAAACAAACTTAAAATTCAATAGTAAATATTCTTAGTCCAAAAAGCCCCTGGGTCACATTATCTAGTACTGTATCTTCTCTATGTCTTTCCTTCTTCCTGGATTTCTGCTCCTGAACCTTTTCCCCCATTTTAGAGGCTTTCTAATACATTTCACTCTACTTGTCTTATTGGTTACCTAGATTCATGCTTTAGGTTTTACCTTGGCCTGGAGCTGCATGTCAAAGTCTCTTCTCAAACACAGAGAATAGCTTCCCTAAGAGAAATTCTGGGGCAGGTATTCAAATATTTTTTTCTCTAAGTTTGCTACAAATATTTAAATGGTAATTGGGAGTTATTTTTTTTCATATGTCTGATTGTTTCTTTTCTTTTTCTTTTTTTTAAATTTTAAAGTTTTAATTTTTTTAAATTTAGATTAACATGTAGTAATTCTGCATATTTAACAGGTAGAGTGTAATGTCAATATGTGAATTTGTTGTATACTGATCCAGCACCTCCTCACTCCTTTACGGCAGCTTGTTTCTATTTACTAAACATTCTGTGGCCTGCAAATAGGAAGGAGCCATAGGGAAGGATGTTGCATAGGTGTTATAGGGGCAAGTGGCCCTTGGATATTATCTGGTTAACTGCTATCAGGTTGTGAAAGGGGAAGTTCAGGCCCAGACCTACTGAAGTCCCATAGTTTTGCAGGCTCATCAGCACTAAAACAGTCTCCTGGGAACTTCCCAGTACTGAAGTATCTCTTACACCACTTGGTCGGTACTTTGTCTTCTTATCACATGTCAGCCTGGTAACAAGCTTGTAAGAATCCTGAAATTACAGTTAGATATCATCACCAAGGATGTGGAGAGGTTCACCAAGAAAGAGAAGATGGCGAAACCCATTTGGTTGCGAGAAGCAGGGCGTGTGATATGGTATGGAACATGAAATTACATGTGGGATTTATTTATTGGAATCACAGCCACAGTGTCACCAGAGTGTTTGCCGCCCAGAGTGACAGATGAAGCTGGAAAGGGATGTCAGGGTGGGATGAGAGAGGGGTTTGAATGCTGTGCTGATTTTGGATTTTAACCTATAGGTGATGGGCAAGCAAACATCATTGCACAATAAAAGAAGCTGTACTATATGAATCATTGGAATGATTTTAAATGCTTTGCTGTTATCTGTGCTCTTGATTTATTCTTGATTTGAGGTTACTTTACTGGTGAAAAATATTCTTGTCCTAAGCGGTCCATCTAAAAGTGGATTTACGTCAAATGAGGCTGACAAACCAAATGCTGTCAGAAAGGTGAAAATATAATCTCAGCAGGCTTTTATTTAATTGAGGGCTAGCATGATGAAGTAGTTCCCTGTAGCTAAAGTAACATGTTCCAGCCACTGGATTTGATAAAACCCTGCTTAGAATATATATAAAAGGGGTAAAAACCTAGCTGTACTTTCTGTCTGATGTATTTCTCAGAACTGTACTTAGTAAGGATCAAATGCAACGCGTTACTGACTTGTGTGGGGATTTGCAATGTTAAAAAAGAGATAGAGAAAATAATATAAAATGTCAGTTTCATTAAGAAATATATAGATGTGTTGCTACTTTTCTGATGGCAGAAAACAGAAAAGCAGTAAGTTTGTACATTCTTCCTTTATGAGAAATACAATCCTGTATTTCCTTATAGCATATGAAGGAACCTGAAGTTCTCTTTTTTTAATGTAATATATTTTTATTTTTAATTGACACATAGTCATTGAAATATTTATGGGGTACCATGTGGCATTTCAATACTTGCTTACCTTGTGCATTGAGTACACCTGGGTAATTGGCATATCTACTACCTTCAACATTTGTGTGTGTGTGTTGGGCACATTAAAAATTACCTCCCTGTAAAGGGAAATTGCATGGAAATGGAAGGAGACCCTCATTGTTATACAAAATTACATATAAGAGGTTGTGAGGGGAAAGGGAAAACAACAAGGGGGAGAAATGAATTACAGTAGATGGAGTAGAGAGAGAAGATGGGAGGGGAAGGGAGGATAGTAGAGGATAGGAAAGGTAGCAGAATACAACAGTCACTAATATGGCATTATGTAAAAATGTGGATGTGTAACCGATGTGATTCTGCAATCTGTATTTGGGGTAAAATTGGGAGTTTATAACCCACTTGAATCTAATGTATGAAATATGATATGTCAAGAGCTTTGTAATGTTTTGAACAACCAATAAAAAAAGACAAAAAAATTACCTCCTTACTAGCTTTTTGAAAGACTCAATTGTTATCAACCACAGTTATCATATTGTGCTATAGAACATTAGAAATTATCCTGTGCACACACCTATGCCTGTTAACTATCTTCCTCCCTCCCTTACCACATACTTCCCAACCTCTGGCAACCACTCTTTCATACTCTAGTTCTTTGAGATCAATATTTTGGCATCCAAATATAAAGGACAACCTGTAGAACTTGTCCTTCTGTGTATCACTCATTTCACTTAACATATTGTCTTCCAATTCCATCCATGCTACTGAAATGGTAGTATTTAATTCTTTCATATGGATAAATATCAGTCCATTTGTATAGATACTGCATTTTACTTACCCACTAGAAGCTTATTTCTTCTGTCCTGGAGATTGTCTCTTCATTTTGTTGATTGTTTATTCAACTGTACAGAGTTTTTCAATTTGATTTAATCTCATTTGTCAATTTTTACATGTAGTATTGGGGGTCATATTGAAAAAAATCTTTGCCTTGAATATATAGATTGTTTGAATAGTATGAAAATTTCAGTCATATTAATATCTCCAATTCATGAAGATGAGATGCCTTAACATTTTGTTTATCAGTACATCTCGTCATGTTATAATCTTTTTTATGCGCTGTTGAGTTCGTTAATATTTTGTTGAGAATTTTTTGTCCTGTACATCAGAGATATTGGCCTACGGTTGGTTACCTTGTTGTTGTTGTTGCTGTATTCTTGTCTGATTTGTGTATCAGGGCATCATAGTAGAATGGAGTTTGGAAGAATTCCCTCTCTTTCAATAATTAAGAATAGACTGAGAAGAATTGGCAGTAGTTTTCTTTTAAAAGTATGGTAAAACTGAACAGTGAAGCCATCCTGGGCTTTTCTTTATGGGGAGGTTATTAGTTATTCATTATCATTACTTGTTATTGATCTGCTCGGGTTTCCTATATTCTTATGGTTCAATTTTTTTAGACTATGTGTTCAGAAATGTATCCATTTCTAATAGGATTTCCATTTTTTTTTTGGTTTATAGTTGTTCACAAAAATCCCCAATTATTCTTTGTATTTCTGTGGTATCAGTTGTTATATTCCCATTTTCATGTCTTATTTTATTTATTTGAGTGTGTGTGTGTGTGTGTGTGTGTGTGTCTTTCTTCACTCCCTCCCTCCCTCCCTCCCTCTCTCCTTCTCTCCCTCTCCCTCTCCCTCTTCCTCTCTCTCTTTCATAAGCCTAAAGTTCAATTATGCTTTTTAAAAACCTTCATTTCAATGATCTTTAGTCATTT